CATCTAACCATCATCGCCCGATTATAAATTTAGTTAATTTCTATTGAAGAAAAATAATATTATTCTAGTTGAAAAGAATATAAATAATTAATACTTCGTTGTACCGCATGCTTTCATATTTTATTACATTGTGCTATTTTATTATTTTTTATTGAATTAATTATGTGCGTAACACTAAATAAATATTGAAGATCATTATATATATATATATATATATATTTCTTTCTTTATTTATTAAATATTTAATGAGTTGGTCGTGATGCCCTTAAATTTCTTCGTTGATATGTAAATGATTTTGATATGTTTGTTAATAATTTTGATTATAAATTAAAAGGTTTTGAATTTGAGTCCTGCGTGTGCGTGTATGAGTTTGTTTTAATTGACCTAAATGCCCCCAAAAAACATTCTTTGATTGGTTAAAAGAAAGCTTATTATTAAAATCTCTTCAAATTAGGCAACTGCTTACAAAAATCAAGCAATAGATAAGCTTCTATGATCGACCAAAATGCATGAAAAATTGTTTGTATCCTCCATATAATACATTAGAAAAAAAAAAAAAAAAGAGAGCAATATATGATCTAAAGGTTTGCTTATTAAGAAAAAAATATTAACTAATAAAACAATGAAATAATTTTACATTAGCAAACTTCTAATTATGACTGCTAGAGCAGTAGAACTATCGGCAGTGGGAAGAAGCTCTGAGAGCCGCTGGCTCAAACAATCAATCTCCTCATGTAAGCACCTGATGTAGTTACAAACCTCTTCCAATTCTATAGCTTATGAAGCCTATAAAATAGAACCAAAACCAGCTTAAAACAAATTATTTTGCAAAAATTAAATAGATGCTTCAATTTGTAAGTTATAAGCTTATAAAATGGAGAAATATGGACATACTCTGCTTCCAGTGGCATAAATTTGAGCTTCAGGAACTAGATTTTGGAGTCTACAGATGAGATGATTGACTTGATTTACACTAATCCTTGATGACATGGAGCTTGTTTGCCTTGAACGAGACCTTCTTCTTGACATTTTGTTGGCCTTGTACAATTGGAAGAAAAACAAATTGCAAAAGCAAGTAGGGAAATAGATTTATTAGATGAATTGGTAAGATGATTATAAGAGCGGGGAGAATAAAGAAAGAAGAAGAAAAATGAAGGAAGAAATGAGGAACAGAGTAACAGTACTTGAGGGCTATTGAAAAGGAAGAAGACAAGTGGGTGCATGGGATAAAGAAACAGATTTCTGTGTAATTGTATAGGCGTGTAGGTGAGTACATGACAAAAAAGAGAAAAAAGAAACAGAGAAAGAAGCGAACCCGATTAATTATATGAAGTTTGGAGGTCAATTAGAATGTATCATGTCACCTTTTTGTTCGGTACCGCGGCTCGATTCCACTGATGTATCTGCACCTGATTCGTCTCCAGACGTAGAGCTGTGTCTGACCTCCGCACAGTATAATTTCTTTTGTTTGAGATAGCTTTCTCTTTTTCATTTTTCAGATTAACTATAATTGTTATTTTATCACTATTTTTTTATGCTTCTAAAAAATATTTGTGCTAGAAAATATTTTTATTATAGTTTTAAAAAATTATTTTCTCTATAATAATTTTAAAAAACAGAAAGAAAATCATCTCAAATGAAGCCTTACAAAATGTTACAAATCCAGAATCATTTTATATAATGGTAAATTTATTTTCAACTTAAATTGACGAGAATAAAATTTTTGTAGTTAACAAACTAAAAAGGAAAGTGAAATGCAAAGGTAGAGTTAGGGGTGTCAATTTCGGATCACGGGTCGGATTCGGGTCGAACTTGAAACTGACCAGACGCTTCGGGTCAACCCGACCCGACCCGCTGACT